CCCCCCCCCCCCCCCCTCGCAAGGGAGTGTAGGGGCCGGAGTCTCGTACCAAATTTTCATTTAAGAACAGTTTAGAAATTTCATACTTATAATTCAATTTTACCTAATGTGTCATATTAATAGAGAGCCTAAATTTGGGTATTGTCATAATCATCTAACAAAGAGAGAGGTTAGAGAACGTAGAATGTACGATTTTTTTTGTAAACTTATTTTCATCATAGTGAATTACTGTTGAAAGAGAACGTAGTCTCCAATTACAGATACAGGGAGAGGCTGGACTGTAAAAAAATTATGTGAAATTTTTTACATATTAGCCCAACTTAAAATTTTTTTTTAATCCAGTCCTGAATCAGCATATTGAGACGAACTTCTATAAATGTTGTGTGTCCTAGAGTGTTTATTTTTCTCTTTGCGATAGATTGCTCTCGATAAAATAGAATTAAGGTTTCTGATCCTCAACCCTCTAAAATTGAAGGATGGAGGTTATTCGTTGACATTTATGCTCCTCGAAATGTGGGATCATGTATGTCCGATCTTGAAACTGCTCAAGTTTACAATGTGAATGATTTGAATGAAGTTGTGGCCGGTAATACAGAGGACTGGCTGCAGAAAGCAATGGAAGCTCAGGCAATCACTGAGGACGAAGTGAAAGAGTTTGAAGCCTGGAACGACTCTCTTTAGACTGTTTCAACCATCAAGAAACTTAGAGCACATGCAGAAAGAATTAGGACTTTTGAGCTTGAAAAATATTTGTCAAAAATTGGTGACGACATTCCAAAGAACCAAAAGAAAACCATTTAAGAACTTGGCCCTTGTTTGGTTTTGTTAGAAAAATATTTGAAATTAATTGTTAATTTTAATTTGAGACTTTTAGTAGATTTTAATCTATATGAAATAGAGGCTTAATGTAGTAATCGTCAATAAATTACTACACAGCCCAATGTAATATTTGTGATGCGATCGCACAACAAATCGGAATTTGAGTGAGATACTGAAAAATATGCATGCTCTTAACACGAAAGTTAATCTCTCTGCTCGATTTTATAGAGTAGTTTCAATACAATGAGTTTGGTACAAACACGAAAACTTATTAGTCAAGCTCGTTCCTCAAAAATCATGTCATTTTCTTGCTTTAAGTTGAAAATGGAATTTTAAATATTACTAAATAAATGAAAAATATTTGTTAAGGAAATTTGACAAGAAATACTGCTCATTTTTATTTTCTTTACCCCGGAAATTTTCTTAACTTCTACATCAGTACAATAGTTATTAAACTATAAACAGAAAATTAATGCAATAAGAATTATTATCTCTCAAATGCAATTTTTACATTTTCGTATTTATTATTTTTTTCAAATAAATGAATGAGAACTACTTGATAAAGTTGTCAAATGACCATCTCTATTATGTAATGTAACCCAAAAAGATTTCTTTTTTTTTTAATGTATTAATTAAATTATTAATTAGCACCTGATTTTTGAATTTAAAACTAATTCACCTTATTTATGAAAATTTATAATTTTCTAAAAAGAAGAAGAGGAAACGTAGAAAACAGATCTAAAAATTGCAAAATAAAATAAGAAAAGAGAATTTCCCCAAAAAAATAAAGAAAAGAAATACTGTAAAATAATGAGATAATTATAGATGATTATTTAGTGTTATCGTGATTCATAGATAAGTCTTATCTAATGTAGAAAGTCCATTTCATTCCAATTGTAACTCTCATTTTAAATCCTATAAATAAATACAAGTCATAATTCTCAATAAAAGACACACTTAGTTTTAACTCTTATATTTTCTTCTCTTCTTGTTCTATTATTTTTATTCCATAACACGTTATCAGCACGATTATCTAAAAATATAGTAAATTAGTTTGAAGATTCATGATGGATTGTCAAGATACTTGCTTGATTGATAATGCAACTATACATATAATTCTTCAAGATAAAAAATATTTTTTTTGACATAACATTAGCATAAAATAATGTTAATATGATATCAGGTGCATCGAATATTGTTGATAGCTCCGGAAGAGCTTGTATTATTTTACCAAATGATACAATATTGTATATTGAAGATGCACTTTATTCTAGCAAATTTAAAAGAAATTTTTTTAGTTTTAAAGATATATGCTGCAATAGATATCACATTGAGACGATGCAAGAAAATAATGTTGAATATCTTTGCATAATTTCTTTTGTATCTACCCAGAAGCAGATAAAAGAAAAAATGTATACACTCCCATCTAGAGATGGCAGCGAGGCGGATTCAGGGCGGGGCCACTCCCCTGCCCCGCCTCGCCCCGCCACACCTTAGAAGGGCCGGTGCGAGGTGCGGGCCTACCCTATTTCCTACCTTTTTTTTAAATTTATAGTTAAAATACAAATTCAAAATTTTAAAATCCAAAACAAATAATGATCAAACTAACTACATCAATATCCAAAGCAAGCACTCGAAACAAACAATGTCCAAAATAAATTATTTTTTTCCTCACGGGGCAGGACTTTTTCTCCCCGCCCTGCCCTGTTTGGGCAAGACGGGTTTTTTTCCCAGCACTACTCCCGTCTAACATGTATTATACTTTTATAAAAATGGTCGAATCAAATATTATCACGAACTAAAAGTTCGTTTATCCAAAAAATTTATACTTTGGCATGATCGAATTTGACATCCAGAAGCTATGATAATGTGTCGAGTAATAAACAACTCAAATGAACATCCTTTAAAGAATCAACATATTATCTTACATAATGATTATCCATGTGTAGCTTGTTTGTAAGGTAAATTAGTCATTAGACCTTCAACTACAAATGTCAATATTGAATTTCCATTTTTTAAAGAAAGAATTCATGGAGATATATGTGGACCAGTACACCCACCATGTGGACAATTTCGTTATTTTATGGCTTTAATTGATTTTTCTACTAGACGGTCATATGTTTGCCTACTTTTCACTAAAAATGTAGCTTTTGTTAGATTACTTGCTCAAATTATAAAATTACGAGTTGATTACTCAAGCAAGACTATTCGTCTTGACAATACTGGTGAATTTAGACCACAAGCATTCGATGATTATTGTATGTCAATTGTGATTGTTATTAAATATTGGGTTGCGCATGCCCATACATAAAATGGTTTAGTAGAGTCATTTATTAAACGTCTACAACTTATTGCTAGACCATTACCTATGAAAACAAAACTCCCAGCTTCTGCTTGGGGTCATGCCATATTACATGTTGTGACATTGGTTCGTATCAGACCAACTGCATATTATCAATATTCACCTTTGCAACTGAAATTTGGTCATGAACCTAATATTTTTCACCTACAAATTTTTTGTAGTACTGTTCAAGTCCCTATTTCACCCCCACGACGGACTAAAATGGGTCCCCAGAGAAGACTTAAGATTTATGTGGGTCTTGATTCACCATCTATTATTAGGTATCTTGAACCTTTAACAGGTGATTTATTTGCTGCACGTTTTGCAGATTGTCATTTTGATGAAATAACTTTTCCAACTTTTGGAAGGAAAAAACTACATTCTGATAAAAAAAGGTAAAATTTCTTGGAATGAAACAACTCTATCTCACTTTGATCATCGCAATAATCAATGTGAGCAAGAGGTTGAAAAAATCATTTATCTGCAAAGAGTTGCAAATCAATTACCAAATGTATTTGTTGACACAAGAAAAGTGACAAAATCACATATACCAGCAGAAAATACTCCAGCAAAAATTGATGTCCCTGCACGACAATTTGCTGTAGCAAATAAATCTCAAATACGCCGGANCTCAAATACGCCAGAAGCGTGGTCGACTAATTGGTTCAAAAGACTATGTACCTTGAAAAAAGAAAAGTACAATAGAAAAACCAACTAAAAACTTCAGAAGAAATAACATTAGAAAAAATTGATCAATCAAATATTGAAAATATGGTTCTAGAAGAACCACAAATATCCGAAATAATGAGATTTCAATAAATTATATATTATTTCATAAATTATGGGAACGAAATAATATTGTTATAGACAATATTTTCGCCTTTAACATGGCTCTTGATATTATGCAAAATGAGGATCCTAAACTAGTCTGTTAAAGACTGTCAATATAGAAATGATTGGCCAACGTGGAAAGAAGCCATACATGCGAAATGGAATTCCTTAGAGAAAGGGAAAGTATTTAAACATGTAATTCGAACATCTGAAAATGTAATTCATATTGGATACAAATGAGTTTTCGTATAAAAGAGAAATGAAAATAATGAAATTACAAGATACAAACCCCGACTCGTAGCTCAAGGTTTCTCACAAAAATCAGGAATTGATTATGAAGAAACATATTCTCTCATAATAGACATAGTCACTTTTTGTAAATCTCCTTACAAGATATAACTCTACACCAACACAAAAACATTGGAATCGTGTTAAACATATTTTTTTTACCTAAATGGTACTATTGATTTGAGATTATTTTATTCTCAAAAGTCAATATCTACTTCAGTGGGATTTCTTTTTCTTTATACTTATTTAAATGATTTGAATTAACATATCAGAGCAACACAACCAGTCTTGTGTAATTAGATTGGAGTCGAGATGTGATATGCATCGATGATGAATGTTACTCAACATTCAAAGACGAACAATTTAGCAAAATGTGAGCAGAGTTTCCTTTATAATAGGGATTAAAACGAATTTCACAAAAAAAAAAAAAAAAAAATTAATAATTTGGGAAAGTCTTTTTTTTTTTTATAAATAGTCAAATTTTATTTTCAATCACACATTTTTATGGATCCACAAGTATTTATCACTTATTTATTTCTATTTGTAAAGCAAATCGTTTATAAATTCTTTCGAAAAAGAGTAAATCTCATCTTGAATTCTGTATTTGCGGGTTTACAATGGTTCTTCATAACAAATTATTGTCTCATGTTGTCTCATGTTGACTTCGTTAGGTGCAAATAATATTTGCCCGTAAATCGTGGGCTCATTAACACGATTACAATGAATAGAGGTTATTGACTTTCATTATAATTAAAATGTGGTGTTTATTCAAAAAAAAAAATGTGGTGTGATGTGATCACACGATTTGATTTGGACAGTCTGCGACAAAATTTCAAACAAAACCACCTGACGTAATTTGTATTTTTTTTACCAAACCACTTTAATTTTTAAACCAAACCAATCCAAACCATTTTTTTTTTTTGTTTTTGTTTTGGCTTGGTTCTGTTTAAAACCAAGGTTTAACAAATAAAAAATAACATATATCGAATAAATTAAATTATAAAGTGTGAGAAACAAATAATACATGCATGAGAACCATGTTCTCAATTAAATTGTAAAGATCATTATATGGATTGAAACAATCCGGACGAAGTGGTATAATCGCCTCCACGAATATTTGTTGAAAAAAGGCTATAAAAATGATGATATATGCTCATGTGTTTTCATAAAGAAAATAAATATTGAATTTGTAATTATAGCAATTTATGTTGATTTAAATTTAGTTGGACTTCTGAAGAACCTCAACAAAACTGCAAATTATTTGAAAAATAAATACGAGATGAAAGATTTGAGAAAAATCAAATTATATCTCGGGTTGCAGATTGAACATTTCGCAGAAAGATTATTTGTTCATCAATCTACATTACTACAACATAAAATAGGCAAAAAATTTGGCACGCCA